TTTTCAGCCTGGTCTGTGTGTCAAGTCAGGACCTATGGTTCCTCCCAACTACAGTGAAGGGACTTTGCCTTATTCCTACAATATGTACGTTGCCTCGGATTCCCAGAAAGCAATGCTTAATTTACTCACTATGACGTCAGAAATGGGACCCTTACAAGATCTCTCTACTGAAGCTTCGTTTGTAATAAGTGCCACTGAAGAGAATAACAAATTAAACTCTTACACTGATGCTTCTGCTCACGTGAGTGTCAATAAACAGGTTTGGTTTAATTTCCAAATAATATTTTGGCAAAAAATCTTAAACAGATCATATCTACTATCACTTTGTTTGTTTACCCACTCTCAATATTTTCTTTTCCTTTCTGTGTGAGCCAGTGACTTCATTATTAGCCCTCAAGTATTTTGAAATACTTTGACAATTTCACCTGAGATAGTCTTTATCCACCTACACGCTCTATCTCCTTTACTGTGACAAATGGATATTATGATGCTATTGCCACAGAAATATCTATAACTGAAGCATAAATGTTTTTTTTCCTGGGGGTGTTTCTCTTCCTCAGAACATCAATATTTTGAGTATATAAGCCTTTTTCTTCATAATCACAAAGTGAGTAAAATGCATAAGAAAAGTTTTTAAAAATCTTTTAAAGATTTTATTTATTCAAGAGACAGAGCACTAGCTAGGGAGAGGCAGAAGCAGAGGGAGAAACAGACTCCCCGCTGATCAGGGAGCCAGACCCAGGCCTCCATCTCAGAACTCTGGATAATGACCTGAGCTGAAGGCAGATGCTTAACAGACAGCAGAGGCTTAACTGGCTGAGGCACCCAGGCACCATGAAAGGCTTTTTTCCCTAAAGGACAGAGTAGTATTTTAATAATAGTCCATTACATTTGCTAAGGATTTTTTGAATCCCACTGAAAAGGCCAATTTTATTCCCAATATTTTCTCAGAACTATCTGTAGATTTCCTTCCAGCTTTAAAGATATGTTGTGGTAGGCCTGCCAAATATGCTTATCCTCAGAATCCAAACATTTACATTAATGAAAGCAGAATAGTGGGAATTTTTTTCTTAATATTGATGGGTTTCAAATGTATTACCAGTCATTTTCAGTAAATGGAATTGGGTTTGTTACTCAGAAAAAGGTAAGTTTTTACTATTCTTTGGATTGCTAATTTTCTCAAACATGGTTTTGAAATAAAATGTGTTACTATGTTGTAAAGTACTACCCTTACTTCCAGTAAATGCAAGTTGAAATGCTTCCATTCTGTCCTAAAAATGTTAATGTGTCTTATTCACTTGACTTCTTGTTCATGTGCTTCTGATAATATATACAATTGCATTTCCTATTTTTAGGTTTCCATATTGTGCAATTTTGATTTCTAAATATTAAATATTGGCAACCTTTTAAAATAGCTCCTCTAAGTATATTTAATACCTGTAAAAATCTGCCCCTTATCACAGCTGAGTGAGAAAGTTTAATTTATTCTACGATTTTTCAAAAACAGGAAACACCTAGGAAGATGTCCCATAATAGGTGTTTTTTGGGAGTGGTGATATCAAACTAGGTGCACTAAAGTTATACGGTTAAAATTACTTTGTATAGAAACTTCAAATTCATTTGAAAGGTTATTGGAAGAACAATACAACTACAGAAAATAATCTCAAGAAAGCAGCTCTATATGAAAAATTTTAGAGAAATACAAAGAAGTTGACTGAAATTCCTAGTAAAAGGAGCACTGTAATTTTTTAGTTGGCTCCACTTACATCCCTATTTGAGGAACAGTAAGTGGAGCTATTTGAGGTAGAAAAACCAAAGATCCTTCCTGGAGTTGAAGATTGTGCAGTAATTGGTTAGGACCCTGAGCACCACTGTTCACAGGGAGAGAAAAACAGAGATCCTGCTTGCCTCCTGCTTGTCCTGCAGGCACAGGCACCTGTAGCACAAAGCCCAGATAGAAGCTACTCATCTCCGGGACTATGAAGAAAATGTTGGATTCTGAAGATGGGAAAAACTGGTCCTGACTTGGGTGGTCTAGGGACAAATTGGAACTAATATCCTCCAGGAAAGCGATGATGATTCCTGAGCGACTGCATCAGGACTGAAAAGGGCTTGTCCTGCTGGGATTTCTCCTGGGGAATCTATGGGAAACTGGGTGCACCCAAATTCACTATTCACTTCCTGAGGAGCTGGAGAAAGGCTCTAGGATGGGAAACATCGCCAAGGACCTGGGGTTGGAGCCCCAGGAACTAGAGGAGCACGGAGTCGGTATAGCCTCCAGAGGTACGACTCAACTTTTCGCTCCAAACCTTCGAAGCAGCAGCCTTATCTTCGCAGGCAGGGTAGACTGGGAAGAACTCTGCATGGGGGTCTTAAAGTGTCAATTAAATCTGGAGATTTTGCTGGAGGATAAAGTAAAAATATACAGGGTTGTGGTAGAAGTGAGAGACATCAACAATAATGCCCCCTATTTCCGGGAAGATGAATTAGAAATAAAAGTGAGTGAAAACGCAGCCACTGAGTTGCAATTCCCTCTTCCCCACACTTGGGATCTGGATATCGGGAAGAACTGTCTCCAGAGCTACTGACTCAGTAGTAATACTGACTTCTTTCTGGACGTGCAAAGCGGAGCGGATGGTAACACGTACCCAGAATTGGTTTTGGAGCATGCCTTGGACCGGGAGCAGAAGGCTATTCATTACCTTGTTCTCATGGCTCTGGGGGTGACCCAATCCGCACAGGCACTGTGCGCATCCGTGTGATGGTAGTTGATGTGAATGACAATGCACCAGTATTTGCACAGTCTGAGTACCACATGAGTGTTCCAGAGAATGTGGTCATAGGCACTAAGCTGCTTCGGGTAAGCACCACTGACCCTGATGAAGGAGCCAGTGCTGAAGTGATGTATTCCTTCCATTATGTGGACAACAAGGCAGCGCACGTTTTCAAACTAGATGCTAATTTAGGGACAATTTCAACAATAGGGGAGCTGAACCACAAGGAATCGAGGGTTCTATGAGATGGAAGTGCAAGCTGTGGATAATGCAGGATATTCTGCACAAGCCAGAGTCTTGATCACAGTATTGGACATGAATGATAACGCCCCTGAAGTAGTTATCACCTCTCTCCCCAGCTCTATTCTGGAAAACTCTCCCAGAGGGACATTAATTGCCCTTTTAAATGTAAATGATGAAGACTCTGGGGAAAATGGACAAGTGATCTGTTTCATCTGAGAGAATCTGCCATTTATTTTTTTTTAAATTTTATTTATTTATTTGAGAGAGAGAAAGATCACAAGTAGGCAGGGAGGCAGGCAGAGAGAGAGGAGGAAGCAGGTTCCCTGCTGAGCAGAGAGCCCCATGCAGGGCTCAATCCCAGGACCCTGAGATCATGACCTGGGCGGAAGGCAGAGGCTTAACCCACTGAGCCACCCAGGTGCCCCAAGAATCTGCCGTTTAAATTAGAAAAGTCTTATGGAAATTACTACAGTAACAATTCTAGCTATATCATCACCATGACCGCCAGTGACAGAGAAAGTCTGTCCCTGTCCACGGAAACTCACATCTCACTGAAAGTAGCAGACACCAGTGACAACCCGCCTGCCTTCTCTGATGCTTTCTACTCTGCCTATATCATGAAGAACAACCCTAGAGGAGCCTCCATAGTGTCTGTGACTGCCTATGACTCCGACTATGGAAAGAACGCCCAGGTCACTTACTCACTGGCGGAGAACACCCTTCTCAGAACACCCATATCCTCCTACATCTCCATCAACTCTGACACTGGCATTCTATATGCCCTGTGTTCCTTCGACTATGAACGATTCCAAGACTTGCATCTACAAGTGATGGCCCACGACAGCGGTGACCCTCCGCTCAGCAGCAACGTATCTCTGAGCCTGTTGGTGCTGGACCAAAACGACAACGTGCCAGAGATTCTGTACTCCCCACCCCCCGCCCCCGCCAACCGATGGCTCAACAGATGTGGAGCTGGCACCCCGCTCTGCAGAGCCTGGCTACCTGGTCACCAAGGTGGTGGCGGTGGACAGAGACTCTGGCCAGAACGCCTGGCT